TGTATTGCAAATCATAGCAAAACAATTTATCTCTCGTACCACAGAAGTCGGATGTACAGAAGCCGATGGATGAATGTACACATCTCCTATAATATGACAATAATTCTTATTCGTAGAAGCAAGGCGGTCTGGCTGCTTTTGCTTGTAGAGGGCCAAGTAATGTCGATTGGCATATATCGCAGAACCCGCAGTTTTCACTTGCGACCACCATCTGAACACAGGCAGGGCAAATAACCGGCCAGATCCCGCTAAACGCGTCAGTATGTCTTGTTCAAATGCAATATGCGCTGGATCTCTACCATTGCAGCATAACTGCCTGCAGTCCCATAAGAAAATGTTGAAAAAAGGATACTCATTCTCTTATAGCAAATTTGGTCATTTGCATTACATTAGATTAATGCATATTAAAAGCTGTTATACATGAAATTAATAAACCCAAGTCAGCCAAGTCTGTCAAAAATAAATTTTGTCAAATATTTGCTACAAATTTTATTGATAAAAAGGCATCACATTTAATAAAAATTTTGTTATATTCAATAATGTCAATAAATTGATGACAGGTATATAACAAAAGCTGCTGAGGCAATATAAAAACAAATTGTAAAATCATGCCAAGTTTGCTGACAACAAATTGAAAACGAAAAATCGAAAAAATCAAAGCTTCGTTCAATTTTTGCTGCCGTTTGCTGTCTGGATATGTGCACAGACTTTGCCAGCAAAACATGAGCTTATTGCTGACACAAGTGGCATCAAATTTTTGCTATCAATTTGATTATTGAGAAGTTGTGGTAAAAGTATATAAATATTTAAAAAACGATTAAATAAAATAACTATATTATCACGTTATTATAGAACTATAGAACACAGATGTAATATTGTCAAAGTTAAATATTATGCTTCTGCATTTAAATACTTTATATAAAGCAGTCTTTTTAATGTATAATAATCCATTGTAGTGCGATTGACCAAATTTATCATTACTGTATTCAAAACGAGAAACTTACATTAAATGATCTTGTTGCTGATTAGCATGAAAGACATCTGCCATTGTTTGAAAAATTTCTGGAGATGCAAGATATATTCCGCAATTGATAAGAGTCGACACAAACGTCGAAGGTTTCTCTACATAATGTGCTACCTCTCCCTCCTTTCCCAAAACCATGCATCCATAGTTCAATGATTGTTGCCGAGTTGCCTCAGTTGCCATAATCGTCAGCAGTGCCTGTTTATTGTTGTGGAACTCCACCATCTCTTGCAGAGGGAAGTCGGCACAGACGTCGCCATTCATAACAAAAAAGTATGTGGGGCTGCCTGAACGAATCTGATCGCGGAAGTGATACATGCCACCTGCTGTTCCAAGGGGCGTGAATTCCTGTAAATATCGAATAACTATGCCATAAGTACTCGACATCTCCTGTACAAACTGAGCCAGATCGTTCTTGGGATACGCCCCGATTATCAGCACTTCATTGAGACCGGATACTTTGGTACAAGCTTCAATGTGATGTTGTATCATGGGTAATCCAGCCACTGGAAACAATGGTTTTGGGATGTCCAAAGATAGAGGTCTAAATCTAGTTCCTACAAAGATACAAATGAAACAAGATAAAGCACAAAGATAAAGTATACATAAGAATTTATAAGTTTTTTAGCTCAATTTCTTAAATCGTTCATTTTTTCTCTTTTTCTTTTCAACGTAGAAGTTCAGTTAAAAAGAATAGTCCTTATATTAAAGTCTTAATAAAAAACATATTAGAATACATATTCTAAATGTATTCTAATAAATAAACGTATAAATTTATACACAAAGCCTCTATACTGACAATGATGAAATAATCAAAATGTGACATAATCCAACAGCAATGTCAAAATTATGTAGAAGATATCAACAGGATCTTCAGATAAATGTAATAAAAATACATAATTATATATATAATTAGATACGTGTATATAATTTTGATATTAAATTTGACTTTTCTGCAGTTCTTGCTAGATAAATAAGTGATAATTAAGTCAATACAAACCCTTTAAAGGTCCTCCGATTAAAATAATAGCCTTTAACATGATTGCACAAGTCAAATGTTCCTTTTGACTGAATAATTCAAACTATTTTTATATTCTCACAAGAAGTATCAAGAGACAGCGATCATCCAAGTCCTCCGAGAGCGTGAGGGGAACCAACGCTAATCGCACCGTGCAGACATATTGTGTATATGTGTGGACGTGTCATCGGTGACGATATCAGTGAACAAGTTTCGATAAATCGACTTGAACGATAGAGCTGGCGGTGTCCAAGAAATAACTTTAAAGAAACGGCTTTCCTCGCATGTCGAATTAATTCAAGCTGTCAACAGCAAATAATCGGCAGATGCTACCGCATACTAGAGAGGAATTCGCCGAGATATTCGAGACTCGGCACAACCCAACGGCGATGTTTGAAAGCCACGTTAAAAGCGCCGGCTGCTTCGAATCTTGCACTCTTTACTCTGCATTTTCTGCCTAATTGTTCTTTCAGTTCACGCAAAACCGACTCGGTTTCTTCAATCTGTTCGAATTATGGCGATCAGCTGACATGGTAATGGGCCCACGTAAAGTGATGATGGCACGTTCCGTGAAGTTAGCTCCAATTCCCGAACATTTGCCTCGCGTTTCATTTTTCTCATCTGAAAATATAATAACAAAGGATAACTCGATTAAATGCAGAAAAGGATGCGGTCTACACTTGTTATGCTAAATTTATGGAAAATCTAGTTTGTCTTTTAACTTTTAACAAAAAGAATTTATATTTCTGTACAAAAGCATTTTATTCAAATTATGAGTGATCCCGATATCACTGTAATCCGCCAATCACTCATGGATTAAATAAATAGTAAGAAGGGAAGTAAGAAAAGCGCTTTCCATTTAAGGCTGCGCTTTTATTTAACGTTCGCAATGCTCGCGAGCATCGTTTGTTTAACATTTGATAAACGACAAAGATGAAATGATTCCATGAGCGTTGTGAGCGTTAAATGGAACGCATTCTTATGCCCATTTTTACCAACGTAGATTAACTTTAATCTCAGTTCAATTTCTCTGTCTTTTTTTTAATCTTTAGAATTATACATTTAATTTTAACATAATAATAAATATTATATATAATAACATAACATTTAAGTTAAATTATTCAAATATAAATTATCTTTTCAATATTTCATAATTCTTCATACAAAATACAATCAATCTTAGATAAAAATTATTTTCAATTTATTTATTAATTAATTGCATAACGTAAATATATAGTTATTACGAGTTGAAATTATCTGAGTAATTGTTAGTCTGCTACACCTTTTTAATTACACTTCGAAAGTCTTCATACAAAAAAATCATTAATTAATAATCGATTAAAGTATAAAAAAATGAATAAAATTATTAAAATTAAGGTCTGTATTCACCTCATTTTTATCAATAAAATTATGCATTAATTTTTCACATTCTACAGTATATGTAATAAATAATTATATGTTAAATGCGCCTATTTGTCAATAAAAATTAAATATGGTGTAAACAGACTTAAAAAACTAAATCATTAGGTCTGTTCGCATTGCTTGAAACCCTCAAAAATCTTTGCACTCAAAAATAATAAAAAACAGTGTACTCGTATATATTGTATAATAAAACATGTATTTAAAACATGTATGTAAAAAATGCACTTTTTGCATTTAAAATGAGATAAAAAGTCTATACTTTGTTTGCATTTTTTGCACACAGTATCTACGTATTCTTTCTTTTCTATGCTTTTATATATCTCCAAATTGATTCGAATATGTGTTTATCTCTTAAGTGCAAAAATTTTTTTTGAGATTTCAAGAAACACGAATAAATTAATTATATATTCAGGTGTTGCAGAGAGAGAAAGTGAAGTGATGTTGAGTGCAAAACGTGCAACCAATACAAACAGACTTATTAATTATTGGTTCGGCTAATTCTGATTAAATTGATAGGTTAAGATAAAGAATAGGTTCTCTATGGCTGAACTAGTATACATTTTGGAATTTAAAGTGAGATATGTATATATGTTTTATGATATTTGGAAAGCTTTTTCGTTTTCGCTAGAACTTTCTAGTATCTATAATGCTGAAATAAAGAACAAGGTATCGATTGTGTATTTTAAACAAAGAGAACATTAAAAAAATAAGCAAATTAAGTAGGTATTGACCAATGAAACTATAAATATTTTGCTAAATTTGCTCACTTTTGTCATTTTCATCTCATTTCAAGCACACAATCGATCCCAATCGATCCCCAAACATCATATATGAATTGCCATGCGTTGACACATTCGTGACATCCAATAGCAGTGCGATGAGCGTACAGTGCTGCCAGCGCTGCCAACATTGTTATCTAGGGTTAACTGATCTAGAGAATTGTTTGTCGCAAACAGTTTAGAAGGGAAGAGACGAATGAAATCGCGGAGCAAAGGGAAGGTTTTATATTATTCTTTGCGCTCATACTAGAACCAACTGGAACTTTCTTCGTAGTTTTTGTTCCTTTCTTTTTCCTTTTGCTACCTAATTATACATTTCATTTCAAGTATAGAGAGTGTTACATGAAACAGCTGCCAAAAGCAGATTTAGGAAAAGAAAAAGAAAAAGACATCTCCAGAGCTGAAGATCTGTTCTTTTTCGATCTCAACTTTTTGCAACTTTTATCATCTTTCTTTTTTTCTCTTCACTTTGAAAAAAAAAGAATAAAAAATGAACGATCCAAGAAGTTCAGTTAATGCTCGCGTTTCTACTAATGTAGATTAAATTAAATATTGATTTAGTTAATTTTTCAGTCCTACAATTAGAGAAAGATAAAGAATAAGTTGAACTAAGATTAAATTTAATCTACATTGATGAAAACATAGGCATAAAAAGAACAGAGGTGTCGAATCTCGTATGTTTAGCGCGAAAGCTCGTCGACTCCCCCGTTGAATCGGGCATCATCGGCGAAGGGCGCCGGAGTCCGAATGTAGGAGCAAGAGGTAGAGAGGGGGGAAAGGGCGAGGAGGGCGCGTGCGATCAACTTCGGTTCGGTTCGGTGCGACCGTGCGGTGCGTACTCCGCGTACTCGAGCGAGGGCCAGCGCAGCGCGCCGGTGGCAGCGTAAAACGCTCGCGTCGCCGTCGCCGTTGCCGTCGCCGTCGCCGACAAGTTTGGGATTGGACTCTTGATCGTGACTTTTCGGTACGTCGACCTTGTAAAACGCTCGCGATATCAAGAAAGTGCGAAAAGGAAAGTATGTGGCGAGATACATCGCGATATATCGTACGTACGTAAAGTAACTAACAATAAAGTGCGTGCGTGCGTACGTGCGTGCGTGCATGCGCTACGCTGCATCGCGCCGCGGGAGCTCGGTAAATTCGCATTTGGCTGAAAGAAAGAGGGAATCAGCGACTGAATAGATAGTAAAGGGGAGAGCGAGAGCGAGAGAAGAAACGAGTAGGAAGAGAAAGAGACACAACGCTCTTGTGGCGCGTTCGGGACTTCGGGACGAACGCAACATCGCATCGACAGTTTGTAGGCAGAAAGAGCGAGAGAGGAAACGGCCGAGAAGTTTGGAGCGGACGGACGGACGGACGGACGGACGGAGACGAGACGAGACGAGACGTGACGGTGACGGTGACGTTACGTTACGTTGCGTTGCGTTACGTTGAGAACGCGTCGCGGTGACCCGCCACCGTTGCCGCTCGTTCGCGCGTCGTCGTCGTCGTTCGTCGGACTGTCGGAGACGTCGGAGTCGTGACTCGCGCAGCCCGCGGCTTCGACTCTCGAGATTCTCGAGAGGAGCGTTTGCCAGTTCGCAACTCGCCCCGCGTCCCCATGCTCCCTCCTCCCCAACGCGTCGGGGACAACACACACGGATCGGGGTTGTCGCCGCCAGGGTTGTTACCGAGGCCGGAATATTTTGACGTGCTGAACCACCTGCTAGAAAGCATGGAAATATCCAAGAACCTGAAAGAGGAGATCTTGGATGTGCAACAGGAACTGCAGAAAGCGATACTCGAGCATCAGGTGAGAGAAAGAAAACGAGAGCGTGAGAGAGAGAGAGAGAGAGAGAGAGAGAAAAGATCTTTTCGCATTGCTTGAAATTATTTCTAAAATTTTTGCACTCAAAACGAGATGTATGTATATTTGAATATTGAAAAGAAAGAAAACGAAGATTTTGAGTGCAAAAAGTGTAAGAAATAACAAATAGACCTAAAGAGATTGCGATGCTGTGTGCGAGATAGTGATCGAAGAATGGTCGGGTCGTCGGGGGTTGAGAGGAGAGAAAGAAGGAGGCCTCCCCTCCTCCTCCTCCTCCGCGCAACATACGCATATACATCTTTAAAGATCGGCAGGGAGGTTTTTATTTTTCTCCCCGCGCGTAATAAGGGAATTGAGGGATACATGAGAGCCACGAGCGCCCGTCCCCTCTCCTTGACTTGAGTCATGAAGTTCCCTCCGAGTCGATGGATCGATCGATCGATTCGGGACAACTCGAACTCGATAGATCCACCAAGCGTCTTTTGCTACTAACTTGACTGCGCACGCGCGCGCGCGCGCACGTGAAGGGTTTTGAGGATCGGAAGGAAGTTTGCGAAGGGCGAGGAGGAAACCGAGTGCGAACTGCGAAAGTCGAAAGTTCCATTTATGGCCGAGCGTGTTGAGCTTCTCTCCCGCTCGGCGTCCCCGGGCGTCCTCTTTCTGTCTCTTTCCACCTATTTCTTTCTCTCTTTCTCTCTCTCTTTTCCGTATCTTACGCGCCTCATTCGCTCGTGGAGGCGGCCGAGAAATTCGTTGCGGGATCGAATTACTTATGTTTTCACGAATGATATCTAATCAGCGCGATATCTAAAACTATAACGCGAACTCGCCAGAACTCGCGAGAACTTGTTGATTAGTTTTCCAGGTTGAGTCATAATAATAGTAATAATAAAATAAAGTTGAGTAATTTGGAGATTTAAAAAATTGAGGTCACGTAGTGTATTCAATCAAACATAAATATAATATATAAAATTGTATAATATAATAGTGTATAAAACATATACTTGCACTAATAATTTTGTATGTGTTTAAATACATTATGTGATTTCAAAATTTCTGTTAACTTATCTAAATTATCTCGTTTTAAGACTGCAGAACTTTTGCATTACACATAATGCATAGTAAGCAAGAATTAACTAATTAAATTTCTCTTTTCTATGAAAAGAAAAAAAAGGAAGAATTCTGATTGGTTGATTCTACTTATGCACTATGCATTATGAGTTAGGCAAAAGTTTGTGCTGTGGTCTTTACATTATCATAGGACATCATCATGACTTCATAGGTCTGTTTTTATTTGCTCTTTGAAGCTGAACTTCTTGTATAGTTCACCATGTTGGAGAAAAAAGAGAAAGGATGAACTATGTGAGAAGTTGAGCAAAACTCCTACACTATATAAATTTGTAGCAACATTGTTGCAATGTGTGCAATTTTGTTGGAATATTGCAGTGTTGCTACAATATTGGATTACAACAATTTGCTGGATGTTTTTATGATGTCTTTTATGTATCTTTTAGACATGTATGTCACAAAAAATATCTTTATGATGTCTTTATAACGTCTTTTAGGTTCATTTCCACCATAGTAGTTAATTTAATTTTAATTTCAATTCAATTAATTCTTCATCTTTTGCTAATTTTAAGATTAATTAGAAAAAGAAGAATGAAGAGTAAGTTAAACAGAGATTAAAGTTGTTCCGCATTGATAGAAACGGGCATTAGGCCTCGTTCCATCAAAGTAAGATTAACTTTAATCTAGATTTAACTTTACTGGGTGCTTTCTAGCAAGTGACATAGATGACACAGTGAATCACTACATCTTTGTTGTTTGTCAATGTTAAACAAAGAAATCACTGTATTGAACTGTCTTGTTAGAAAGTATCAACTGTTTATCTTTTCCTAAATCTTTTTATCTTTTACTTAGAATTAGAAAAAGATAAAAAGTAAATTGAACCAAGATTAAAATTACAAATTAATTTATCTTACATTGATGGAACTAGGCCTTTAGTCTTGTTCTTTTTAGTTGAACTTCTTACACGGTTTATCTCTTTTCTTTTTTTTTTCTCTAACGTGGGAAAAGCTTTGTAGGTTTAACTCTGCAAAGAAATAGGCCTCTTATGAATAATAAATAAGATCGTGATAATATCCTTATGATATTATTATGACTTTTGTATTCTGTTCTTATGGTATTACTATGACCTGAGTTTCGTACGGAAGACGAGAGTCGACGAGATGGCCCTCCTTGAACGTCTCTGCATACCCCTACCATCTTTATAAATATATCGATACCTTCGTGGATTCCTTTGTACCGCCGCGCCGCGAGCGCGCTCGCCCGGCACGAAGGTGACTCTTGCTCGCTCTCTCGATCACTCATGGCCATAAGCACAAGTCTCGATCAATGTGGCATTATCGGCATAATAGTCCAAGATCCCATCGCGAGTTTGTACACCTATCACGTATGCAGATGAAATGTAAAAAAAATCGAGGTTCGTGTTGAAGGCAACACTAAACCGCAAGAGTGCCTAAAAAAAGTGGTCAGGAATATCATTAATTTACGACTTATGAGAGAAGGAACGAGCGCGCGACCCAGGCAATGAACAAGGACGCAGCACAACTGATGATCACAACACAACTCGCGCGCACACGTTCAGTTATGCTGCGTCCTTGTTCATCGTCCAGAGTCACGCGCTTGTAAGTCGTAAGTCGTAATTTTTTAGGTATCCTTGCATTTAGTGTTGCTCAACACGAACTTTCGATTTTTTTTATATTTCATCTGCATATGCGATAAGTGTACTCGCGATGAGATCTCGTAGTATAAAGCCTTGCCTTTCGGCTTGGCAAGGATTGGCGAGGATTTCCTGATAATAATTTAATGTCGCGCTCATCGAGAGCCGAAATTGGGCGCAGTCTTCGATTTGCGAGAAGACGCTTCATGTCGGACAATCGATAAGTTGTGAATTATCCGGCCACGCTCCTCTCGTTTTTCCGCCGAGAGGGATCTCCCTGTCGGCGCAGCGGTGCGCGACGCAGTCGCACGTTCGACAAACTTTCGCGTCAGTTTTCCTCAGCTTAACCCGGGAATAGTTACCGAGAGTGATTTTACACCTCAACAGCGAGAAAACAAAGATTAGTCAGAGTAATTTTCTATTGATCGAAAATTTGTATACCTGTTGTTTATTTGTCCCTTTATTTTTGTAGAAAATGTTAAGTAAATTTACACACAATGTTCTTAAATACTAAATTGTAAAACTAATAAATTGTAAAACAACCAATATAATATGCAATTTTTATGCAATAAGAAATTTTATGCAGTAATAAGTAATTCTTGATTGCGATAATAATTGCGATATAAAGATCACTTTAGATGATTGTTTAAAAAATTAAATGATTACACTATCTTCTTCGAACTTCTTCATGATCTTCGAACATCCTGTAGACAGAAAAAGTACTGTATTCAAATATTTACTCATTCCAAGTATTTTAAACGTTTATATATCTTCATAAATCTATTATAAGTTCATCGTTCAAGCATCAAAATTTATTCAAACTATTATATATTTTGAATCTTAGCAAATTTAATCAAGATTATTGAATTAAAACAAATCTGATTTGCTTATTATATATCTGTTTCTACCAAATAGATTAACTTTAATCTCGGTTTAATTTATCTTTCATCTTTATCTCATTCTTAAAACTAAAAAAAAATGAATAGTTGAATCCAAGATAAACTGAGATTAAAATTCTACATTCGTAGAAACGGACATAAGCTTCTTCGATAAAATTTTAATATTCTTTGAAAAAAAAAACAAATTCTTATTTTGAGTACATGATAATGTTTTTCTAGAATTTGTAATAAGTACGTTTGAAAACTATTAAGAAAATATTCTTTGTTAACGATAACTGTTACTTAAAAGAAAAAAGGGAAACTAAGTAACTTTTTAGTTTTTCTTGACAGTAGAATGATACTTTTTTTTATGTATGTAGATTCTGTAAAGAGGATAAAAAATGGTTATACATGGGACTCATCGATAGGAGACAATAATTGCTATTTCACCGAACGTGATTTATGTAACCAAAGTTCGCGTATATCGTGGTGGGGACGACAGGTGCAAGTCGATATTTGCGCAGAGAAGCTTCCCGGAGTCGTCGAGTCCATACTTGATTTACTTTTACCTCGAGAACATTGACAAGGTCGTTCTCTCAGTTCTCTGACTTTTGTTCGCATCGTAGTGAGACGAATTTTGCCGAGTTTGTGTGTCTCGCAGAACTGACAAACTACTCGTCGATAATCGAGTCGTGTCGAGATAAAAAGAATTATCTTTCTGCGCGCCAGAAGAAGAAGGATAAAAGTCACACTTATACACTGAGAAAAATGTCAGGTTGAATTAATTGAAATTCTGGTTGGAAATAAATGAATCAGAATTTTCTGGTTCAACCATTTTCAATCATTTTTTTCAATGTAAGAAAAATTCTTTTTATTCTCGATGAAATTACTGTTATAATTTATAACTATTATTAGGTGTTGGAATTAATTCGTAGCGTTTTTTAAATGAAAGAATGTTATTTATTTCACATGAGCATTAAAAAATACATTAATGAAAGTACTTCCCATCACTTTCTACTACTTTTGACCATCTTTCGGGCAGTGAATGAATACCGCGTCGGAAGAACTGTTCATCTTTAGATGAAATCCAGGAATCGAACCATTTTGTACAATCTTCGTAAGATGTGAACTTCTGCTCGCACAAGCTATGAGCTAATGATCGAAACAAGTGGTAGTCGCTAGGTGCAATATCAGGAGAATACGGCGGGTGCGGTAGCACTTCCCATTTAAGTGTTTCCAGGTATGTTTTTACCGGTTTTGCAACGTGTGGGCGAGCATTGTCGTGCAGCAAGATGACTTTATCGTGTCTTTCGAAGTATTCCGACCGTTTTTGCTTCAATGCACGGCTCAAGCGCATCAGTTGCCGTCGGTAGAGATCTCCAGTAACGGTTTCATGCGGTTTTAGCAGTTCGTAGTATATGACACCCTTCTGATCCCACCAAATACAGAGCAGGAGCTTTGAGCCATGGATATTGGGCTTTGCCACTGATGTTGATGGTTCGCCGGGCTTAACCCATGACTTTCTGCGCTTTGGATTGTCATAATGGATCCACTTTTCGTCACCGGTAACAATCCGATGCAAAAAACCTTTTCTTTTCTGCCGTTGAAGCAGCAGTTCGCACGTGAGAAAACGTCTCTCAATATCCCTTGGTTTCAATTCATATGGGACCCAATGTCCTTCCTTCTGGATCATGCCCAAACTTTTAAGACGTTTTCCTATTGTTGAGAAGTCAACTTCCAATGACGTAGATAATTCTTTAAGTGTTTGACATGAGTTTTCATTGAGCAGTGCCTGCAAATCGTTATCTTCAAATTTTTTCGGCTGACCAGGTCGCTCCTTGTCATCCAAGTCGAAATCACCAGCTTTAAAACGTGCAAACCACTTCCTACACGTTTGCTCAGCCAGAGCATGTTCACTATACACATCCACTAAAATACGATGAGCTTCAGCTGCACTTTTGTTCATATTAAAGTAATGAAGCAAAACTCCCCGCAAAAACACTTTATCTGGCACAAATTTTGACATATTCAATGAATTATACAGTATTGTTATTTATGATTTCAAGAAAGGTTATGTACGGCAAATGACGTCCTATGATAGATGTTTACAATGTATACAGAACTATAGGTAACAACGAAATAGTGTACTGCTTGTGCCATCTCTTGTAAAACGCTACGAATTAATTCCAACACCTAATAAAATTGAAACAAGATCATTTATATGAATTTACCACCATTTTCCGTGAAAGAATAATAATTACTAGCTCTTTATTTAATATCGTTATAATTGGGAATAATATGTATATAAAGCTTTAGACAATGAGTTGTGTCATATATTTCAAGATTACGTTTATACATAAAATTTTTACCTATTGTTTACCTTAAGTTTATACGAATCTTTTTCATGCAGACAATAGAAGCATTGTAAAATATATAAATTATTATAAATTGGTAACACAATAATATAGAAAGAAGTAATTAAATTTTATGATTGTTAATATATCTAACTTTAGTGACTTTTATTGATAAATAAAAAAAAATATATAAGCGAGATTAAAGTTTAATGCAGTCTAGTGCAATGATAAAGAACATAAACTTTGATAATTCATAGATTGTTTACATAGATAATACGTAAAATATTGTTTACATAGTTTACATTGTACACACGTAAATGTAAATTATTATATTATATCTTATTTTCATATTATATAACTATAATCATATAAATTAAGAATAATACAGTCTGAGATACAATTGAAAACACATGCAGGCAATAAGAATGAGGAATAACAGATTTCGATCTATCAGAAATTGTATGTCCTGTTATATATTATTTAATTATTAGTCTTCAATAATTTTTTACTTAAATACTATTAACTTTACAGAAAAACAACAAGAGACAAAAATTTTCTTCTCATAGAGCTCTAAGAATTTTTTTCAGGATTTTTTAATCAACTTTTTAGTACTGCATTTTCTTATATTGGTAACTATTTTTATCATCATGAGAAAATAAAGCATTAAAAAATTCAGAAAAAATTCTCAGAATTTTATGAGAAGAAAATAAGCAATTTTTGTCTCTTGCTGTTTTTCTATAAAGTTGAATATTTAAATAAAAAATTATTAAAAACCAATATTCAGCGATTTTTAATAATTAATATCTTGTTAACTATTGCAAAAATTGCAAAATGATAAAGGATTTTTCGACCGAGTTTAGTCCTCTCTATTTACAAAAAGCGCTTGACAAAAAGTTGCGAGACACTTTGTATATATTTTATATAATAACTAATATGTGTATTAGTACTTAGAGTATTTAAATCGCTTCCCAAAATGGTGCGACGAAGAAGTTAAATGCGAATCGCGACGAGTTAACAAGATGTTAAATATGAGATAATTTGCATCTTTATTAATTAATAGGGGTATTAATAAAGTAGAAAAGAGAGGGAGAGAATGTAATGGCGTAATGGCGCACTGTGTTCCAGTTGGCCATATACATTGGCATACTTCTGCTAAATTATTTATCTCCCTCTCGATTCTGCATTATGTCTTACATAATAGTACACAGAACATACAACATATGATGTTTTTCTTAGCTATGACTGATGCAATTTTTTTGTTAAATTACAGATGTGCGTAGAAAATTTGAAGGATGACCCAAATGTAAGTATTATATCGTTACATTATTCTATATAATATCATTACACGGTATCTATATGATACATTGTTATTAAATTACATTAATTATATGATAATATTTTACATTATCTTTTTAGAGTATGAAACTTTTTCGCTCTGTATTTTAATACATTAATACTAGAAGTACTGAATCCCAGAGTTAACAAACTATTGTCACTTTAATATTAAAATGATGTCTTTAATATCAAAATAACATCAATTTGTTACCTGGATTTTTATTTTTTAGGTTAATATATAATATTTTTTGTATAAAAAAATAGAATTCTGAAATTCTTTGACTTTTCAATAATTATATCTTTTACTGATAAAGTATTTAATTTTTCATCACTTTTTTTATTTTTATAGTAATTCATTTATTTAATCTTTTTAATAAATAAAAAACGTTGATACTTCTAATGTTAAAGTTAAACATCTAATTTTATGGAACATAAACATGTAACGTCGTGTTAAATAATATTAACTTAAAAAAAATTTCTTTAATTATTTTGATTCGGACAAATGTATTTCTTATGCATTTATTGGATGTCGAAACTGATGCCGCAAGTCACATTTTATTAGCGCATCAGGTTTCCAAAATTGAGATTTAATATAGAAAACATTTTTTGCCGTATTTCTTTATAAAAGATGTCAACAATGTCTTGAAATTCCGATTAGAAATCATGAATGTATTGTTTATGCCCTATAAAATGTATGTTTTATTTCAATATCTTATTTTTTAGATTGATTGTTTTGAAAAATTTAAATATAGAGATAAAAAATATTTTCAAGCTTTTCGATTTTTAATATGGTTATCTTCTGAAAAACTATATATACATTAATTTAAATCACAAATATCGAGCATCGCTTTTTACAGCTTATTACAAATTGTAATTATCTTTTCGTATACGTGTTTGCTATAATACATCCAAATGTCAAAATTATATATAAAATTCTCCAATATACATATTCACAATTAAATATTTGAATATGTATATTGGAGAATTTTATATATAACTTTGTCATCTGGATGTAATTGAGGAACACGTATACACGCAGAAGATAATTACAATTTGTCTAACTAAAAAGCGATACTCGATATTTATGATTTAAATTAATATATGTATTATATGTTTTTCATCGAGGATGATCATATAATAAAGGCCGAAATGTTTGATAATATTTTGTATTGTTGACATTGTTTTATTAGAATGACATCCGGTTTGGCTCGAATAGTCTTTTATCATAAGCTTATTTGAATTTTAAAGTTATATACTTATATAATATCTAGTTTGTGAATATCAATACAGTGTAATTTATCGTTTATTATTTCATTGAATTGTATTGCACATATATGCACGAGTTGTCTCATTTTAATTGCTTACTTGAATATTTTGAAAAAAATTGCTTTTTAAAAAAAATGTTATATACAAAAGTTGTACGGTATCTGTGTATATCGAAAGCCATAAACTAGACATTGTACCAATATAACTTCATCATAAGCAGAAAATTTGTTATGTTAGAAAAACCTTTTATAAAAACCTATATTTAAATCCTTCATGGTTAAAAAATAAGATAATGAAATTTAAAAAATGCATTTAATAGAGAATAAACAATTCATGACTTCTAATTAAAATTTCAGGACAATGAAAAAAATATCAAATATAAATATTGAAAAAGCCATTAAATTTCAATTGAAAATCTGATGTATTGGAATTCTTTAGTTTGCGACATTATTTTCAGCATTCAAAAATCTGTAAGACACTAGTCCGGTCTAAAGTAATTTTTTACTGTAACTAATGTAATTTTAGCATTCCAGATTTGTGATTTAATTTATTTCTAATTGTGATGGGATTTGAGATTCAAAGAACAATCGATACAATGAAACTTTGCGAAAGTTTGTGTGCTATACTTCTGGAATCTCATAAGTTACGCCGCGCCACAACTTTGGCCAGACATTTCATCTCGCGACAATTAGTGCGGGATGTTGTTTATGCATATTATGGGGAGCTTTTCTGTTATACATGTTTAAAACTCAATTATTAATTTGATTTAATTTTAGCGATTGCTTAAAAAACAAAATCCTTGACATGTAACTTCATTATATCGAATGATTTCTTATTGGCGATTTTAAGTCAATTTTTTATGATTGAATCTATTTAATCTATTTGTTTTTGTTTTGCATTATCAACAATAACACTCAATAAGCACACAATCAATATATACACAATTATTCCGCGCAATATTCCATTAAGACTTCGATACACGCAAATCGTCCAAATTCCGATGATTGCATGATTTCAAAATGAATGTGTTTGGATTCGATATATGATCACAATGCGTCTTGTTACAGAATTCAGACATACTCGGGCAGATAAAAAAGATTCAGATACACATCAAGTCTCTGGGAAAATGTCAGGTAAGCGCGGACAATTGATTTTCTTTCATGTTGCATGCACGTAGTGATTCATGATGCATCTATACTATGACTTTTTTCAAGTTCCTATTATGAGACCCTGCAATTTCGTAATCAATCTCTCGGTCGGTCGATTGTGCGATTTTAAACGTGAAAATGCGTCCAAAGTTAAATGAGTTTGTAAAAATGATTGTGCCTTAAAAACTAATAATTCTTTTTCTTTGTATACATATTTTTGTATACAAAATGACACAAGTTAAAAATTTACATTAGGGTGGCACAGTTCGAATTTTTAAAACTCATGATACAGTTTTAACTCTTTGCGGATCGGCAATCCCATTTGAGTCACTTTCCTTTATTTTATATTCGTTCAATTTGTATGAAACTTGGTCTATGATAATTTGATAATGCTTTATTCGAATGAAGTCAAAAATAAGAAATTTAAAATATTGGATTTAATGGGGAACAGAATTTGAAAAAAATAATTTGATTAACATAACACTCGGTTTTAGGAAGTTTAATTAGGAGGTTTAATTGCGAAATGCAAGATTAACTTTCTTGTTTTACTTTATTTGTGCTACATAAACAATTAATATTAATTTTCAAACTAGCTCAAATAATTTCTCTAATTATGAATTCTGTGATCCTCTTTCATGGAGATTACTATCCTTTGATATTCGATATTTTTGGGTTACATTTGAACATACAGAGGTATCAAGAACCTAAAATCGGGTTTCACGATAATCAGATTATTTTTTTACTTGAATTTTAGGATTTGAATTTTTCTCAAACCAGAATCGAATTCAATAACCTCGAAAATTTTTAGAAAGCACAATCTTTTACAAGTTACTTTATTAAAGCTCCAGTCCTCAAAAAGTCTAAGAATACACTGTTTCTTACTTCAAAAGTAACTAAAAAAATTAAGTTTTTTAAAAAAGAAGAAAAACTTTTTAACTTAAGAGAAAATTATTAATTAATATCAGTAAAAGAATATACTTTTTTAGAAACATGATCAAATCTTTAAAAAAATTTCCTTTTTGAGCTGTGTTGATTTCAATATGCTGTAAAAACAGATTCGGAATAATTCATCAAAAGTGATATAATTCAAAGTATCATAACTGTTAATATTTACCTTAATCAGTTAAAATGAATAAATTTAAAATAAAACAATTTTTTCTTCAAACTTTTCGATCACTAAAACTAACTCTAAATGTTTGTAGAAGACCATTTTATATTTACAAAAACAACACAATTCAAAATGTATCGCTCTTATAAAAAATATTATGATGTCTTCAAAAACTTTAAGAACGTTATAAGTTATTTAACTGACGGACTGTAAAGTTAAGTTAGTATATTCTCTATGATTGATAAAGTAATCTTTACTTAACTTTTAACTTATTTATAACTAATAATAACTAGGAAATCACATTTTTTTAAAATTGTGTCTTTTGAAGTAAAAAACAACTTAAATACATATTGATTAATTGAAAATATAACATGGATGTAAAAATTATGAATATTTACTATTTCAATTAAAACATTATTTTAATTCAGAATTTAAAAAATGCTTCATTGAAAAATTGTTATTAGGTGTTGGAATTAATTCGTAGCGTTTTTTAATGAAAGAATGTTATTTATTTCACATGAGCATTAAAAAATACATTAATGAAAGTACTTCCCATCACTTGTAAAACGCTACGAATTAATTCCAACACCTAATATTTTTCAGATGTTATTTCTATTGATATGTTAATTATAAAAACCTTAGCAAAATTATATAGTTTTGTATAAGTTGTTAGTATCGATCAAGACTATTATTGATCCGCGTATGGGTGCAAAAACTTTGGCATGCCTTGCTTAACTTTTACAAAGTACGAGTTTTATCATGCCGCAGTATCACTTGCATGGTACTGACTGTAAAATGGTTAAATATATCGATCATGTATTACATGAGCTTTGTTACGGCGAGTTACGAAAGTCCTAATGAAAAAGGAGGGCATGAAAAAAAATTTGTTAATTTTATTATTTCAAGATTAAGTGAGCGAGATGGTGATAGAAAAGAACATAGCTATGTGTACAGAATGATAAATTTCTTGTACACATAGCTATGTTCTTTTCTAATTCAACGTTCTCTTGCCTTCGACGGTATTGATAACAAGTGAGATAAATAATCGGGATGTAATGGACAAGATATAGACACGGAGGATGATATGCAGAGGCTGCGAGAGTAGGAAAGCGTGATGCGAACGCGGGGCAAGGGGTTGAGCGGACGAGAGAGGGAGACAATCCAGAAAGAAGAAGCAAGAGCGACTATGTGAGCGCAGAAGAGATGCCCGGGAGCAGAGAGACGGAGCGGTTTATAAAATCTCCACGTCCTTTTTCATCCGTTTATGTCCTCTTGCTCAACTCCCCACCTCGCTCTCGCAGCTTCGAGAACATTTTTCTCGTTTATATATTCTCCAAGCCATTTTTTCCAACAGTTATCCGTTTCTCATTTACTTTAAAAGTGCTGGAAACTTTCTTGAGCTTTACGAAAGTTAACTTTTGAATATATAGATATATATAGAATAAATACGTCCTTACTTTACAATCTTAATCACGCAACTGTGTTAACATTCTATTTTGTCCCGCTTTTTATAACATTTACACTTACTTGTTATATGTTTGTATTTTTATATAAAGGCATAACATTTGTTTGAATGTTTGCACATGTGTTACGCTTTGCTAAACGCTGAAGTTAATATACCTGGTTCATCACTTGTGTAAACTGTTTCAAGCCCAATGTCCACGATGCTAGAAATCGGTCCAAAACCTCGGATGAAGAAAGAATTGACTAATCGCATTAGTTATGTGATTAAATTATTCAAATGTGATTTGTTAATTCTGTGTTCGAGATCTCGGACCGATTTTTAGCATCGTAGACATCGGGCTAAGGATCTCTTTTAGAAATCACCGACATTAAGTAACACTATGATGCGCTATATATATCTCTCTGCTTGTTATAATAGAAGCAGTTCGTGCAGCGGCTGCGCAAAGAGGTGGACGCGTTCAAGGCAAACAACGCGAACGGATCGAAAGTTTCTATACCGTTTCTCCTCGGACTGAACAACAACAATCACATTACGAACAATAATGAAACAAAGCATGAAGCAACCGCTAATGGTTTCGGAACAAAGCCTTCGAAGGAGAACTATGAAAAAGTTGTTAGAAATGGTGATGTTCATCATTCGCACCCACGAGATAACGATTATGCGAAGTAAGCTTATGTATCTTAAAGAAACAGTAAATTGATTAAGAAGTCCCATTACATCCTTCATTATTTTGCGAGGAGTGTCTAGGATCTCTCATCTTATAAATTTCCGAAATGCATGAATGCTATTTATATACATTATTGTATTTAGCGCAAATTGTTTTACAGATTGTTTCACAAAAAAGTTATATTTATCTTTATCTAAAGAATGTAATATTATCAATTTTTATTAATTGGAACTCTGATGAAATTTCGTCACCATTTTCCATATAACTTTTCAAAATTTTTATATAACTTTCAGAATTTTTTAACTTTAAAAAATATTTCTCAAGTTTTTTTTATAGAGATTGGAACACTGTTTAGAAGTTCTAAATAAAGTTTTCTTTTCTATAATTTTTCTATATGAAATTTTAAAACTTTTAAGATATCTAGTTCTATAATTTCTGATAAAATCTTATAAAATCTGAAAAAAATTTTTTTTTTCCAGAAATTATAGAAATTTTAGAATATTTCAGAATTCTCACGCATGTGAAATATTTTAAGATGTAAATTTTCTCAAAATTTCTTAAGTGTTTCAATTTAAGTAAAAATTCTGAGAAAATTTTTACCAAAGAAATTATCATAGAAAACAATAAAAATCGAGATATAGTGGAATGTGAAAAACAGGCCATGCGAATAATATAGAATTAATTATGATAAATTGAAATTCGTTTAGGATCGTATAACAAAATTATTTTATATGAAAATTCATCGTTGAAATATATGTAACAAAGATTTTGGAATTTTTTAAATTGAAAGTTTCTTTACAGATTACGTCCCAGCTCGGTGGAAACTGTTTCCGGTGAGGACGACGTCATTGAGGTGCCATTGGACGAAAATTTTGATATCACACAAGAAAATGTGCAAAAGGAGAAGATGCAAACGAAGGAGATACAAATGAAGGAGGTGCAAATGAAGGAAATACAACAGGAGAAGGTGCAAATAAAGGAGGAGCAAATAATAGAGGTGCAAATGAAGGAAGTGCAAAAGGAGGAAATGCAAAAAGAGGAAGTGCGAAAGGAAGAAATGCAAAAGGAGGTAAAAAAGGAGGAGGTAGAAATGAAGGAGGAGCAAATGAAGGAAGGGCAAAAGGAACACATTGAATTCACACATTCGACCGAAAAGTGCTACTACCTAAATTGCCTCGGGCTTATTACCAAATCCAAATTCATCGAGCTGCAAAATAGGAGAGTGGAAAGAAAACGTCGTAGCACGGCGAATCCGCATTTTGTATATTCTATGCTCGAGCAACCATCCGTAAGTAATATATGTTAATGCTTTTATTTATTTATACATTTTTTGTATGTATAATATGGATTTCCGAAATGGAATCATTCAATCTTATATATTTCAACTTTCTAATTAATGTCTTATGAAATTGAGGCACACATGGGACAAGACTCGAGATCAAATCCAGAACATTGACAATTAATTAATCGCTCTTAAAGCGGTTTCAGACGACATTATGATGGAAGTAATATTACTTTCATCATGGATGAAACATAACCAATGTACATTAATAATGAGCAATATGGCATTGACTGTTATGTGGTATTAAAATCAATGTTGACATTTGTTACGAAGATCATATTAAAGAAAAAAGATATTGGTCTTTTACGTTGACCAACTTCGATAAGTTCGATATAATAATGTATTTTTTGCAATATAATATTATACAAATAACGTAAAAAAAAATATTTTTTATAAAAGTATTATTTTTTATTTAAAAAAAATATGTGAAATCTATGATTTTAGAAACGAAGGAGGTATTCCTATTTATCTGGAAATCCACCTCACACCCGGCAAACGACTGCACGTATGAACGGTCCATCGTCACCACTTAACAAATCTCAGCCAATCAAACCTACCTCGCCATCGGAACAAACGAAGCCGTTGGTCCCAGTCCAAAAATCTACTACCAGGCCAAATATCCTCAGAAACGCGGAGAGCAAAGTCTTCGTGAATAAAAGCAAAGTAGAAGACAATCAAACGCGATTGTCCGTATCTAGTGCCAAATCTGTTCAGTCGGTAGGTAGCAAGGCTGTTCATATACCTGGATTACCGTCTAGCTTGACCATCGAAAGGATAGGGAGTGACTCTATTGTGTGCATCTGTTGTGAAAATCCAGGTGAGTAAAAATATGACAAATGTTTAAAAATATGATAAAATATGATAAATATTAGAAATATATTGTTGATTCCCTTACAATTTTATTAAAAACTTCTGCAAATACATACATGCATATATATTTAATGCACGATTCTCTTAATTTTTAGGTTCATTAACATCGTGCAAGAATTGCTCAAGTAACTATCACGTTTCGTGTCATACTCGACCAGCGCCTCCATCTAGGATCTGTCCAAAATGTGTTTCAGCAATAAAGGAGGAAGAAAACATCGAAAAAGATGAAGAAGAGGAGGAACAACTGGAAGGCGAGAACAAATTTCATTACAAAAAGGACGAAAAATTCGGTAAATCGTCCTCGATTTCTTGAAAGAAGAAATTCTCCTCTTTTAATAGCACTAAGCGTGTGATTGACAAAAAAGTTCTTATTCCTACAACTTTAGTTGTGAAAAGTTCGCGATAGGCTTATCTCATTTTGCGGCAGTAAGTCGGCCGGGAATTATTGATTTTCTGATTATAAAGGAAAACTGGCAATTTTTTTTGCTGCCTTTTCAATTAGTAAATTATAGAATAACGGCGAGAAGATATTGGTCAAGACGAAATCATGAAGGACCGATAAATCGGCGCAAAGCACATTATTTTAAATAAATACAGGAATTTGTATAACATGAGTCCATAACTTCTAGATTTTACATACAACGAGGTATCGCAGCGTTGCCGCAGACTTAACTGAGCGTAAGCACGCACGCACTGAATAAACGAGAGAGGCAACCTGCCGGAAGAAGTGTCCGCGTGTGAGACCGGCTTCTTGATTACGGCCGAAGAATTTGCAATTAAGAAGAACTTTTTGGTCGATCGTCCACGATAGGGCAAAAAAAAAAACAACCTGTATATTGAACGCAAAATATCTTGCAGAGGAAAAAGAGAGAGAAAGATATGACCTGCTCGAGCGAAACTCGGATCTGAGATTGCAGGTTTACGAGTTGGAAAAACGCTCACAACTACTCGGCCAGTCACTCCAGGTTCGTCCTGTGGCCTGTATAGAGACAAATTATAAAAGTCACTTTTATTTGGAATGCTCTTGAGTTGATCGAATATTGTAAATTATGATTTTCCTTTTGTTTTTTCATTCAAAAGAACCTGCAAGATCTCTGCGTTTTTTTCGTTATATTTTTTTCCATTCATAGAAGGGCAAGTCGATTCTGTTGTCCAAGATATATCTGTAAATATGAAAATAATAATGATATATGTATGTATATGTGTGCATGTGCATGCGCGTGCGTGCGTGCATGCGTGTATATATATGTACACATACATATACACAATTAATATTTTACCATTTCACAATATATTCTTGGATGCACTAACTTGATTAAGAATCGATATTTTGGATATTTTATTTTATTGGTCATTCTTTTCATAAATATTAAGCAACTTCATTTCTTTAATCATACATTTCTTTGCGCTTTAATGATCTACATGTGATGATTTGCTCACTGCATTGGTAAAAATATAAAGCGCCAGATTGTGTTCAAATATAATTTCCACTTTGTTTTAATATTATTGATAATAGATAGGAATATTATATGTAATACATTTAGATTTGTTTACCGATTATGCAGAAATATTTTCAAAGTCATTTAAAGATTACATGTATTGTATATAAAATATTAAATTTCGAAAATTTTATTAAAATGCTTTTAGGGTACTAGAAGAATTTCTCGAGACTCTCTAGAAATTCTCTGCCTGTAGCCAATAAATACATATTTGAAAAATTGATCGTACGACAAATGAAATAGTATCCTAAGAGCGATATGTCATATGCATGTGATATTTTTGTATTATTTTTTATTTAATGATAATATAGCTGTTTTCTAGATGTTCATACATTTGCCAAAAAATTCATAAAAAAGAGCCAATTATATACACATGAATTAATCTTTTTGCGATTGTGACATGCTATTGATATTAACATAAAGAAAAATATTACCTTTTTTGTGGAAAATTTAGAAGTGCATTTAAACTTTATTGCATATCGTATGAATTAATCTTTACAAATCGATAATTATTAAATGTGGTTTTCGTTACGTAGTTTTTTTTAAATCTATGTCATGTTTTTTTCGAACTAGATCGCATGTAAATTAGAAAAACATTATTAGCTATTTCTATGTTAGAACTATATAATACATCTTCTTAGTAATTTATTAGCTCGCACACATGCGACATAGACGGAAAAACGCACATAGACTTAAGAAATGCATGAAACATTTCTATTATTTAGCTCTTTTTTTTACAGCGAAAATTTTTGGCAAGTCAATTATAGTTTTCGTATAGTGAATATACGATAAAAATTATCGCGCTTACTATAATGGTAAGCCATTCTAAGACATGTTCTGATTCCCACTTGAGTGCCCTCGAATGTCGTGTCATCTTTGTTTAACATCCGATATACAACAAGAATGACATGGCATCTAGTGGAGGGAAATGGAAATCCGAACATACCTCTAGATGGAAACATATGCAAATACCCATCTTCAATTTTTATATTATTTGTTTTTGTAGGCAGCTTAGAAAACTTTTTTTTATTTAATGGTTTGAAACAATTTTCTCTAAGTTAAATTTAGAATTCCAAGTAAATAATATCGAAAATGTGAAATATATGTATAATGCTCATTTCTAGCGATGTAGATTAATTTTTATCTTGATTTTTAACTTACTCTTTATTCTTTTCTAATTCTTAGAACTAGAAAATGATAAAAAAGTAACCAAGGTTGAAGTTAATCTCCATTGATAAAAACGAACATAAAGATCAACTTTTGGTTTAGTTAATCGATAATTAACTTACAGAAGTGTTAATAACAGTTTAATGAATCAGAATTTCTCCTCTCTCTTCTTTTTCTAAAACAAACTCTTCTGGGCATCATCCATGGAACAAGTCAGAATGGATTTCGATCAGAATTATTTCGTTTTCTCTAGAAAACATAATAGAAATCTAGGGAATAATTCTGATCCATTTTAAATTATTATTATAATACCTGTATTCAGTTTTCACGTCGCAAATTGTAATGATTGAGTTAATCACAAGATTTGGAAATAACTAGTTATTTGTAACTAAATTACAGCTAGTAGCAGTTACTTTTTTTTAGTAACTGTAACTTAATTTAGTTTCTTTTTTCCATCTGTAACTGTAATTTAACTCAGTTACAGTTCTTTCAATAACTAGTAATTAATTTAGTAACACTTACTTTTACAGTTACTTTACATTTTAAACTTATTTGTCAATGTAATGTAATTAGTTAAAATCTGAATACTGATTAAGGCTACGGTCCACTTGATGCTACAAATGCTTCGAAATATTTTTTGATTGGTCAGTAAATTGTAAGCGTAAATTATTATTATTTTTTTAATAACCTTAATGATATGGATGTTACTCATATTATTCTGTCATGATAACAGAAAAATAACTGAAAAGTAACTGAAAACTTTTAACTGTAATTGTAACAAATTAATTTTGAGTCTCGGTAACTTGGAACTGTAACTAGTGACTTTTGAAAGAAAAAAACTGTAACTATAACTAGTTATTTTTACAAAGTAACTTTCCCAACTCTGGTTAATCATCGATTAGTGTTAATCGGAGTTGATGAAAGAGGTTCTAAATATTTCACAGACATACGAGCTATATTTTATACTTACTTTGCATTTAGATTTTTTAAAGATATCTTATTTTTCAAAATATTTCACACTGTTTTAATTGTTTTTAAAATTTAAAATTTTGCAAAACTAAAAAAATATTTAATGATTAACAATATTATTGATTTTATGAAATTACATTTACTTCTTATGCAAATGAAGACTATTAGACAAATGAAGAGTGTTAGACAACTTTCTTTTTGTCACAATTCATCATTTCATCATTTATAATATATATTAACGATAAAATCGAAGAGGATATTTGCATACATTTTCTTGTTAGTATCAAAAGTTCATGTTACATCTGAAGTTTTTTCTCAGTAAAACATTAAAAATATTTATGTTTTCTTTGCAATAGTTACAACAGCGAATGCATCAGGATTTATTGGGCAAGCAAGAGAAGACTCAGAAATCTATAAAGCGTCTGGTGGACTTTATAAAGTTGATGCAACTCAGAACAAACACGTCCTCCCCACTGTCTTCGGCGTCAACCAGCTGCCTGCATCAACCTTCCTCATCCCAATCACCACCAACAATATCTCCGCCACAAACGTCAACCAATCAGAAGACAGCAAATTCTTTGATACTGAATACCGAGTACAAGACACCGCACATCGTAACCATCACGTCATCAGTCATCACTCACGACCAAGCATCGCCTACGTCCAAGAAGACCAGGTGTCCCACTCCTATCAATTGCCCAGTACCATCCAGCCAGAAAAGCATCAATCATACCTCATCGTCAAGAAAATCGCCGAGTCGACTGGAAGGTCCAATCAGTCTCCTGGCGGTGAAACCGAAGACCAAAATCACTCCGCAGTTTTCAACTACCAATTGCCGACCAGTTGCAGCACTACCATTCAGAGCGCTGTGCTCCAACCCGTCGTCACCCATTCCCTGTTCTACGATCGTGACAACAATAAGAAACAAACCAATCGTGCAGTCCCACTCCATGTCACCATATCAAAATTGTCAAATTCTCTTCACTCCATCTCAAACGACCATCAGCTGGACCGAGCAACCTTCAATGGTAGGAAGCCCTGGGCCAAACTTACACGCGGCAAACTCTGTGTTAATCAGTCAGCCAGATCAGCCACAGAAATCTTATTGTCTTCTTACGGCGACCCCGAGAATAGTGTCACCGAGCAGCAACGACCAAGATCAGCTGGATCTGCGGAGAAAGCTACAGCAACGGCGAATCTCTGTCGTGAGAAGTACCGATCAAGAAATTTCATCCACTCACTGTTCCCAGGCCATAATAAGTCCCATACCATCACCAGTCGTGCACGTGAGTCACGAAGCCCAAACGACCGAGACTGTCCGCTCCTGCGACAGCAGCTCTGCCGTGAAGAACATGAACTGGGACTACACGAGCAACCAGATAGCAAGCCAGCAGCAGTCCAGCTCCAGCGGCGCGCTCTCACACGATTCTTCGAGCACGTGAAATTGGAAGAAGCGCATATATCAGCGCCATTTAGAACAAAGCTAGCACACAAGGATGAGATCAGTGATAATGACGACGACGAAATTGCCCGAGAGGACAGTCCGTGCGACGAACAGTACGATAACGATGATGCCGTTGCTGAAGCTTCACTATTGACGTCATGCGATGTTTTGGACGAGGACCGTTTGATCATTCCCGTTCCTTGGCTAGACGCTGACTCAAAAAACGCCTGTGATGACATCGCGAATAAGGTATCCGTTCGTCGTCTTTCGGACGCAGCCTTGTCGCAATCCAACGATTATACCGACTACGAACTCGTTCGTATTAACTCGCGATCGTCAGTAACTCTACGACATTCGGTGGAACGCGAAGACGATCGACCAACAATAGCGGCGGCGGCAGCGGCACTGCGCATTGCACAAAGTAATCTTTCGGAGCTTTGTAATGAGGTCTCAGTTCCTGACGATAAGGCTGACACCGAGAGACAAGACTTACCCAGTGGTAGGCAGTTGAGAAGCAGAAGTAATAGCAGCAGTAGCAGCAGCAGCAGCAGTAACAACAGCAGCAGCAGCAACAGCAATAGTAGCAGCAGTGGTCATAGTGACACCCCAGAGCAAGCGATGAACGTGAATGATCTCTCAAACGATTTTAACATTCTGGCTAAGATGGGCTTCGTTTCTCCGGGGGGAAAGGATGAGGAGCAAGTCGGCGATGAGTCGGCGACGGAGAGTGAGACTGATGCCGCCACTGATTAGACATAGTTAGAATTAATTATATTGACATTAGGGCTGGTTCTATGATGAATTTTGAGCACGATTCAATAGCGAGAACCATGCAAAATTTTTTTTTGCACTATATATATAGAGATAACTAAAATAACGCCCACTAATCATTCAGTGCTATTCCTAAAAAAAACTAAGTTAATCCTCTATCATTTTGCAATTTTTGCAACAGTTAACGAGATATTAATTTCCAAATATTGCCGGATAAAATCGATGTATAAGACAATTTTAAGATATCTTTTCATGTTCTTTGTGAAATACTTTAAAGATTTTTCTTAAAGAACTTTTAAAGACATCTTAAAGTTATCTTATATGTCAATTTTATACATTTTGTTTATTGGATAATTAAAAAAAATATTGCGAAAATTGCAAAATGGTAGAAGTCTTTTCTCAGTTTTTTATTAGGAATATAATTAGTGGGCGTTATTTCAGTTACACCCTGTATATGAAATAAATTAATTCCTCCATCTATCGTCACTCATTTCAATAATATAAATTGGCACACATATATTCTGAGAACTTTTTGTTCTACACCTTCAGCAAAAATTAATTTTTTCGATAATTGAGATCATGATTTATTAATTCTTCGATTAAAAACATATATAAAATATACACATATATATTATTAATTTACGCTATTGAATGTTGGCAGTACGAGAAAGAATAAAGATAAATTAATACTGCAAGAAGAAAACACGAGCCTTAACATTGTCAATCGTGCTCATCGTTACTCCTAATTGCGCTTGGAAACTCGCGATCTCTCGACGGCGCGTTCGCAGTTTTTTTTTTTGCAGAAGAAAGCGGCGCGCAGGTCAATCATAGCAATTATATCAGTATACGATCGCGTTTTACCCTAGAGATATTTTAATGATAGTTCAGCGATATCCTGGAAATTTTTATGCGAAGCGTTAGCGATCGCACTTCCCTATATATCGCGGCCTACGACGCGTAGGGTGAAGATGTCATTGCTACAATTGTATTAATCAGTTTTTCTTTTCGATAGTTTTGGAACGTGCTTGATGATTTCATACGATCGAAATATTAAAATAAATGATAGTCTTATTCCGATTTTGTAACAATATAACGATATTGACTATTGTTAAGAGTTACAGAATCGGAGTAGAGACGTAGTTTTTTTCATAAAGCTGATTTTTTTCTCATATTGAATGTTAAAACGCAAAGAGGAAAACGTGTTATTGTGAAGTATTCCTTTCGTAACAGAATTTATTTACAAAATATGCATCCATAGAAAGATGTGTCCGAAATTGTGGAGTAACTAGAAAAGGAAATCTAAGTTCAACTAGTTTCATTTACATATGTTTGTAATACTGGATGACGTTAAGACGATTTTTCTCGGTTTGACAGTTTTCTTGTTGATCTTTGCAAGCAAGATGAATAGTAGAAAATAATACAATTCTTTAATGATATGAATAGAAATCAATTGATTTATAGAATACATGACGAGATCTAGGCCGGGTCAAGTGAATTTTCCAAGTCGATTCTCGGAAACAGTTCATTTCTGCATTCCCTCGCTTTTGAGAGAATCCCTCATCCGTTTGCGTACCACGATCTCTGAAGAAATCTTGTATATCCCCGGCTAGATAAAGCACATATCCGCGAGACGTCGCGCGATTACATCTCGAGAGAGAAGGGCACGGAAGGAAGCCTAACTATTACGTAAATCAAGTCACATTACCATACTGCCTTAATAGTAATATAAAGTGGTACTTTATAAAAAACGGCTATCGTTGATTATGCATCCCGGTGAAAAAATACGGATCGCATATGCGTCGCAATTGACGGCCGGCGATCGGAGAATGAGAGCAATCTCATTGTAGTAATACGATTAATCAAATTCTCGTTACCATAATCGAAAGCGTTTAGATATTAAGAGCCATCGTCTATAAGTTCCATAAAACGGCGAGCGATAAAACCGATCGTCATATTTCTCACGAAAGTTGTATCCTTGCCGAAGGTAGTTTGTGAAGAGAAAAAAGAATTGTGTATAAGTGTATATGTGTATAAGTGTGTATGTGTATGTATGTATGATGAGTGTATTCGTAAACAATTAAATGATGTTTCGTCGATGCGAACTTCGACGGTATTTGACATTATGTTGATTTTAATTTGTTTATAATTGTTTTCCGTCTGGATAAAGAGCAGAGCTGTGATCTCTTGCACCCAGACAGCATAAGTTATGAAGACGTTTTTTATAGATATTTCATATCTTTTAAATACGAATATATGAAAACATTTAAGGCCAGTATTCATCGTCGGTTCTTATATTTAAGATCATCTTAAGTATAATTTTAAAATGTTGTAGGCCAATCATAGAATTGCATTAGCACCTTAAGACTTAAGATCTTAAAATAAGAATACCGGCCTAAAAGATATCATAAAGATGTTTTTTAGACATGCGTGCTGTCTGGGCAGCATTTTGTATGCAAGGAGGACCGAGATGAATTATTCGAAAAATATAATTACTTTTGCAAGAATTATCGACGATGCTAGTATTATTTTTTTTTTTTCGAGATTGAGTTACGCGAATCGATTTATTCATTTATTTATTTTGTGTTAACGTTAGTATTCGTCGGGCGTTAACTCGCCGGCTTGCCCGTCATTTTTTTAATACACTTAATGTATAAGAGAAATTTGAAGAAAGGAGAAGAGAAAAAGAAATGTTATATGCAGCGTAGGCAACGAGATATTAAGATCGAGAGATTCGTATTTTTTATGAAATAAAAGACAACTTAAATAACATGATGTGGATATGTTTCAGTTTGCCGTGATCCTCGACCTACCCCGAACTGGTTCCACCAAACGCGAAGAACTTTTCCGTTAGTAAACACAACGTAATAGTAACATTACGTAAATTTTCTATTGAATAATAAATGCTTTCCATCTGGCTGCATTCAGCAGAGAAAACTGGATCAGTTAGTACTTACTGATTTGTTAATATGATTGGTTCCTACACTTAGATCTAGAAAAGAATTAAAGGCAAGAACCAATCATATTAAAGAATTATTAAGCATTAACTGATTTTCTCTGAACGTATCAATGACACAAGTCGATGCAAACATCGTTCTATCTTTTTTTGCATTTCATGAATAATAAACAAAACGATGTTTGTGTCAACTTGTGTCACTAAATAAAAATCACCCAATGCTCAATGTAACAAGGGTTGTCGTTCACACGTAAAATATAATTTACATCTACGTGTATACAATGTAAGCTCTATAAACTATGTTTTACGTGTCATCTATGTAAAAACAATCTATGAATCATCGAAGTATCTATGTTCTTTATCGTTGCATCAGATTGAAGTTTTTATTTCGATTTATATATTTTTATTTATCAGTAAAATCAGATGTATTAACAATCATAAAATTTTATTATTTCTCTTTGAATTGTATTATCCAGTTCATAATAATTTATATATTTTACATTGTTTGTATTGTCTTCGTGAAAAAGATTTATGTAAATTTAACATAAACAATATGTAAATATTCCGTATAAATGTAATTTTGAAATAACCGGCTTAAATTAAATTAAATTTCGGCAACCCGAAATATAATTGTATAATGTATGTTACTGTAAAATGGGATAACTGATTTAATTTTGGTAATTTTCTGACAGCACGCATGTCAAAATTGGGACATAAGACACATTTTTAGAACGTCTTAAAGAGATATTTTTTAAAATTTGATTCAATAAGCTACCCCATTTTACAATATATTATATATTTACATTTATGTTATTAAATGGGAAGTTATAATACAACCTTGGCCAAAAATATTTTAAGATTTTGTTAATCATTATTATTTAAAGTTTTAGCTCAAAAATTGATTTAAGGCATTTGCTGTAAATTATCCTTTATTTCAAGAACCCTTTAAACTTACGTATAATACCGGTAACCAATAAATAATGCAGGTAAAAGAGAGAGAATTCCAGAGATGCATGAAAAAGATATAAGTAATAAATGAATGATAAATGAATAAAATAATCCAATATTTTTGACAAAGGCTGTATTATGTAATGTTACCGTTACTTAGTGTTTAACGAGTCGTTTCGCGCATAGACCATGCCGAGATTTTGCATCACGCTCATTTCGCTTTTCACAGTAGCGGATTTTCGAAGCGTGCTCGGTGCGGTGTTTCCGTTGAATCGTAGATGAGTTTCCGCTGAAAAAAATGAATGAACTGCGGCGACGCGAGGGGGAGGAGCGATGGAGTTACCGACTTGGACAAACAATCGGCTAATGACATGTAAATATGGCGGAGCTAATCAAGCGGCTGTGCCAACAGGCCACGGGAAGAGACGCCGCGACTCGCTTCGCTCGCTCGCTCGCTCGTTCGCTCGTTCGCTCGCACGCTTGCAACATAGGATGGAAGGGACGGAAGAGGGTGTCCGATATACCCGATGCAGCAATGTATTTGCAAGCCCGACCTGCGCACATGCGTCGCGCGCGCTGTAGCAACGCGCGCGTACATATTTAATGGTTGCACGTTAATTGCGCTCTGTTTGCCCATTCCCCATTCTACGCTCCATCTACACGTCCACCCACATTCTCTTCACCCTTTCCGTGCCCGCAATTCTCCTTTGTTAGCGTGCGCCACGCCGCGCCGCGCCGCGCCACCGCGCGTTCGATTTTAATCAATTCACCTCGGGCACCTACTACAGCTGGTTCACGCTCGAGATCCCACGGAAACCTACTTTTGATGGTGCATCATCGGACGCAGCCATTTCCGAGAACTGCGTTTACGTTGAACGTTACGGTAACGCAGATTTTCCGCGCCTCGCCTGTCCGGTGAATGTCGTGTAATCGCGGGGGAGGGTTATTTTCGATCGTCCAGTTATTTTTGGTTTGGAACAGCGCGACGCGACGGGAAAGTGACTGAGGAACGGGAAGAAACTGTTGTCCGGAAAATACATATGAAATAAGTTTTGCTGAAGTACGTAAATATTAGGTCTTGCGGATACATAATGATTTTGTTGAAATAACTAAAAATTTATTTAGATACAGATTTGAAATAATTGTGCTGAACTATCTAAATAATTATATTGAACTCGAGCTGGTAGAATGTTAAAGTCTTTTGTTTCTTTATCATAATTTTTTAATCTTCTACGTAGTTATCTTGATGATTCAACATAATTATTTTCAGATTTGTATCTATATAA